TTTCTAAGTTAGAGAGCATGGATCTCTCTTGGAATCAGTTGAGGAGTATTCCAGATAGCATCGGGCAACTTTCTAAGTTAGAGAGCATGGATCTCCTAGGGAATCAGTTAAGGAGTATTCCAGATAGCATTAGGCAACTTTCTAAGTTAGAGAGCATGGATCTCTCTTGGAATCAGTTGAGAAGTATTCCAGATAGCATCGGGCAACTTTCTAAGTTAAAGAGCATGGATCTCTTAGGGAATCAATTGAGGAGTATTCCAGATAGCATCGGGCAACTTTCTAAGTTAGAGAGCATGGATCTCTCTTGGAATCAGTTGAGGAGTATTCCAGATAGCATCGGGCAACTTTCTAAGTTAGAGAGCATGGATCTCTCTTGGAATCAGTTGCGGAGTATTCCAGATAGCATCGGGCAACTTTCTAAGTTAAACAGCATGAATCTCTCTGGGAATCAGTTGAGAATAGGATTTCCTAAATGGCTTCAATTACTAAAGACAATAAAAATGGTTGGTCTCTCTAATGCTAGCATCTCAGGTCCTCTTCCAGAAAACATAGGTCATATGATGCCAATGTTAGAAAGACTACATCTTGAAAATAACCTCATGAACGGCTCAATTCCAATGTCACTATGCAATTTAAAATATTTGGTAGCACTTGATCTCTCAAACAATATGTTATCTGGAAATATTCCAAAGTCGCTATGCAATTCAAAATCTTTGCGATATCTTGATCTCTCAAATAATATGTTATCTGGAAGTATTCCTAATTGTTGGAGAAATGATCAATCATTCATTTTTATTGATCTATCTTCTAACAATCTCTCAGGTTTATTTCCGAGTACAATGGTGCAGCTTTCTTCTTTAAGTGTACTGCACTTGAACAACAATAGTCTCCAGAAGGGACTACATGTAGCATTGAAAAATTTCACTTCTTTAGTGGTTTTGGATTTGGGTGAAAATAAATTTTCTGGAAATTTAACAAGCATGGTAGGAGGGGAGATCAGCAACCACTCTTTAAAGGTTCTCCGACTGCGAAAAAATTTGGTTTCCGGTTATATTCCTTTGGAACTATGCTCTCTTTCTCAAATGCAAATTCTAGATCTTGCAGATAACAATTTGACAGGAAGGATTCCTCCTTGTTTTGGAAAGTTTCCGATTATGGTGAATGCAACACAATTGATCTATGGCTCAGGTGATGGATATTGGGATGAGGCACCTTTGATGGAGGTTGTGAAAGGGAGATACCTTGAGTATAAAAGAAAAACTCTGAGACTCGAGATTAGTATAGATCTTTCAAGTAACAATCTAATAGGATCTATACCAGAGGAGCTAATATTCCTCAAGGATTTGCACAATTTGAATCTATCTTGGAATCATCTCTCAGGAAAGATCCCTGAGAAAATTGGACAAATGGAAAATTTGGAGTCTCTTGATTTCTCCAAGAATGGCCTTTCAGGAAGGATCCCGAACAGCATGTCAAGTTTAACCAAGTTAAGCCACCTCAACTTGTCCTACAACAACTTATCAGGGCCCATTCCAACAGGCTATCAGCTCCAAACACTTGAAGATCCAACCATGTATGCTGGCAATCCTCAACTCTGTGGAGCTCCACTCTTGAATAGATGCTCAAATGATAAACTACCTCCGACAACCGCCAACTTCAAGGACAACGATGAAAGTGCACTTAAAAGAATGTGGTTTTACATTGTCGTGTTGTTAGGCTTTGCAACTGGATTTTAGGGAGTTGTGGGAACTTTGATTTTGGTAAAAAATTGGAGATATGCTTATTTTAAATGGATGGATGATGTCCAACACTGGATACTTGGGGTTATAACATTGAAGGTGGCACGATTCAAGAAGATGTTCAATGGCAACCAAGATGATTAGTAAGTTATATATGGAGTATGTTGTTGTTGCTACATTTATTATTAAGTTAGTTGGACAGCGTTGTGTTGCAAGGTATAGTGTCAAGTCCAACTTTGAATGGTCGAACATTGAATTGGTCAATTTTAAATGAACACATATGTATTAGAGTTTTTAAAGTTTTCAATAATATAACATAGGCTGTAGTTCTATAGTTTTTACAAAAATAAAAATTCATAAATTTCGATAGAAAATAGAGAATTCTATGCAAGGCTTAAAGATTTCATGGATTTCTATCTTTCCAGTTTGTTAAAAAGAGAAAGAAAGAAAGAAAGAAAAAAGAAAGAAAGCAGGAGATGAAAGAATGAGACAATAAGAGTGGCTCAACTGAGTATACAATAATAGCCAAAATAAAGGTCTCACATATTCATGTCAAAGTTTGGAACTTTCAATCACTCACAATCAAATCGCTCAATTGAGTATCCAATATAATGCAGCTCTTACATAAATTTCCCAAGTCTTTAGTATTTCCTAAAACACATTTCACATTGCATAAGGCATATGAACTACAGACTCATAAAACACTATCAAGGATAAATAGTGAAGTCCGTTGGTTATATGTTAGTTTAACCCTGAATAGCAAACTAATTCCTGCAACTGAAAATGAAACACAATTATTCATTTGTTGTTTCTAATTTTATGCCATCACTCTTGATATATAATAGGCCTAAAAGTCAAAGCAGATATGTAAAAGAACCTGGATAAACTTCAAGAATAGAAAGAATATCCACAATATGATAATGATTAATACCCCCCGCTACAGCCTCAGTATTTAGTGTTGCCTTTCTCCCAACAAACCTACTTTGGATAAAGCCACTAAAATAGAGATTATCTAAGTGAGAAAAATATATAGATAATTTTGATCTTTTTCATTTGGAAAATGATGTTTATATATTTTTGTAATACAAAAATAAAATATAAGGGTGGTATTTTTGTGGCCAAACCTTGAGTCTTCTTTATCTTGCACACTCATGAAGGTGTTTATGCCACCACAATAGCTATGAAATGACTAACATGTTTTCAAACTGCAAAAGGAATTATATTAAGAAAATTATGCAACTAAAGCTGCAAGAAACTTGTGAGATAAGATTGTAGCTCCCCATGATGTACATGATAACATAATATATGTGTAGCCAAATTGTTTAGCAAATCCTACGACTTAAACAACTCTCACTTAATATTTTTATTTCCATTCCCATCTTACTATTTATAGAAGAGTTTGAGATTTTAAGTTGAAAAACCTTAAATTCAAATTTTTGAAACATACCATGAGGGTAAAAATTTTTATGTTAAAGGGGAAGAAGAAGAAGAAAAAAATTGAAGGCGCTAAAAAGATAAATACAATTTATTGAAGAAATTTAAAGAAAATGAAATGAACTCACAACATCTAGCCAATTGGTTAAGGCCAAGTTAGTGAAGTGGAAGAAGAAGACTCATACCCTAAACCAAAATATGAAAAAATTGCAAAGATACAAAATGAAAATCTGCATACCTCAAAAGCTTTGTCTCTTTTCCAGGCACCATCTTTCCAATCATCAATTGAAGACTATTCCAAAAGTCAATCTATGCTCTCCCCTCCTAAGATATTATATATGTTTGAAGCAGTGTTCAAATATTTCATATTTGACTTCAAAAGGCAAGATTGCTGAATTAAGCCTACTTAAAATTAGTACATGTTCACATTAAAAAAAAAATCTAGTACATGTTGATTCCTTGCAAATATGAATTTACAATCATCTCCTCTTCTTAAAGCTCTAACAACCATGAATAGCTAAGAAAGAGAAAATTTGAAATAAGATGAAGAAAAATACCCATGCCAATCCATTATATCATATCAACTTCCCATCTCAAAGTTTTATTGCTTTTGACTGTCCCTATCTTTTAATTAAAAAGAGTTGTTCCCAACTATGAAAGCAAAACATTATGCATGGTTCCAATATCATCTTTTTAACAAAAATAAGTTTCATTATTCATCATTTCAAGCTTAATATCTAATAAATTAAGCTCATAATCTTAAAGCAAAATAGCTCCAAATGTTATTCCTACTCCAAATTTGATTTTTCTAATATATTATTCCTTGTTATCATTAACATAAAAGAAAAGAAATTAATGCAAAACCTCTGTAATGGATTTTGATTTTGAAGCTAGATTGAATAATAAAGTAAAAAAATGAGTTTGAACATTCTTTATTCAAGGAAAAGAAAACAATTCAAACCAATTGAGATGGAGTTATGTTAGTGTAAATTTTACAGTCATGAATTGTAAATTATGTTGAACACTAATATATTTCAAATCAATCTAATTTTTATATCCATTTGGTATATAAGCAAGGTACATAATTTGAAAAAAAAAGTGATAATTATATAGTTTTAACTCATCAAGATATCAACTTCTTATTTTAAATGAAAAAAAAATCAAATACAAATTATTCTTTCATTATGAAAATCATATGCTTTTCAATTATGAAATGTAGGTGATGAGTTTAATTTTGATATGCATTTATCTACCCTTTTTGAGTTTAGAATTTAATTTTATGAGTCCTTTGTAACTTAGTTTCACCTTGGTTTACATTAATTTCATTGTTTATAGGTGAAAATTAAGATAGGAATTAATTTTTCAATAAGTGACAATTTGCACAAGTTGTAGTAATTTAACCATATCTTTTTCTTCAAGCATTAGATTGAGATGATTCTTGAGGCATTGGAAAGCTAAGAAGTAGAGATACAATTTATCTTTTATGAGCTCAACTCAGTTCTATTTGTATCAATACAGATTTTTAGTTGAATTGCATGATTCAACAGTGGACAAATTGCAGAAAATAAAGAGAATTGGGCTGTGTTGCCAAGGTGTGGGCCGACAGCATTCCAGGCCCAAAATAAAGCCTGTGTTTACTAGGGCTAAGAAGAAATAAGGGTTTCTAATTTATATGTATATATGCTGCTCGTCACACCAAAAAGGGAGAAAACAAGAAGCCACGAAATTGCTCTGCACATAGGAGAAAGCAAAAAAACCCAAATCTGTCCGCAGAAAGAGACCGCCCAATTTGTTGGCATCTACACAAGAAGACAGCCCCACAGCCGAATCTTCTCTGCACAGAAGGGAGGACACCCACCCAGATCTGTTCACGAAAGAGCCAACATCGTCGACCAACCTCTATTCTTCTCCGCCAACTTTGTTTGGGAGGGACAGCAGCACGAGTTTGGCTTGTTCTTCATTGGACGGGTGTTGTTGATTCTTAACTTGAATTTTTTATCATGATTGTCTGCTGGGATTACCGAATTATGGCTGTTGAGAACATAAATATGTGTGGCTAGATTTCTTTGAACTGGTGATGGATGGATTTTAATTTTTGGATTATGTGATTGTTCTTTTTAGTTTAATTCAAGATTTATTGGTTATTTGCATGATGAGTTTATATTATTGAACTTAATGAAGTAGAAACCTGATCACGTTTCGATTGATTTAGTGATTTATGCATGAACTTGAGACAGAATTGCAAAAATTAGACCAATAATAATATAAACCGTGTGTTAGACTATGAGACCGAGAGGTAATTAGCTCATACGTGGTAGTGGAGGAAAAGAAGAGAGTTAGTAGCTCCCCTTTTTAAGCTAGCAAACAAAAATTTAGCAAACAAATGAAGGATTAGCTTGACTTGAGAAAGCTGATTAATTAATTTAGGGAAATTTACCATCTCATGCGATAACACTATTAATTGAGCTTGAATTAAATTAATTAAACAATTAAATAATTCAAAAATAAATGAAATCTAAGCCCTAGTTCCTTCCCATTCATAGTTTCTTAACTTAGAAAATTCCTTTAGTTTAATTCTTTTAGTTTAAGTAGTTTTCTTTTAAATAGTTTAGTTTTATTCCATTAATTGGTTAATTCAACTTAAGTTAAATTAATATTGTCTTGGTAGTGTAGAATAGTCCTTGAGGGAACGATATTTTATCTTATAATGCATAATCGATTAGGTTCACTTGCCTTAAAGTAATGCGTATTTGGTGCATCAGTAAGAAACAGTAATATCCTTTTTCTTCATCAATCTGTTTTGTTTAGTCATGTCTATAGACTTAACCATATCAACGATAACTTCTGAAATTTGCCAAATTAATGATCTCCAAGCCAAATTAGAAAGCAAGGATAGTTTTCCCATTAACTAACTTAATAAAGGCAGAACCTCTAAATCCACCTTTAAAAAATATCAGTAGGGACAGATTTATCCCTCACAAAAATGAAGGGACAAATCATAAATCAAGACAAATCATCCTTTTTTTAACAAAAAAACATCAGAATTCTGTTTGCTACGTCAGCATTTTTTTAACAAAAAACGTTAAAAAAGGGGTAATCTGTCTTGATTTATGATTTGGAGGGGCAATTTGTCCCTCCATTTTTGTGGGGTGAATTTGTCTCTTTCGATAATTTTTAAGGGTGGATTTGGGAGTTTTGCCATTAATAAATTCATAAGTTGGAATCAATCGCCATTGTAAGTTTCATGAAATGGATAACATTGGGTATTAAAGAAACATACCTTTGAAAGAAAAATGCCCAATACTTCTTCACAAACAGTGGCCAAAATCGAAGTTTCCTTTATTGTCTTCTTTCCTAATTTGTGTTGTAGAACATTTTGAATGTCGAAATAAGGCTCCACTTACTAAATAATTTCAGCTACATACAACAATTATGCATCAAGCATTATAGTCTATGATAATAAAATCAAAATTGGAAATTTAAAAAA